TGTTTTGTAAAAAAAAAAAAAAAAAAAAAAAAAAAAAAGAATAGCAATTAATAGAGGTCACAGGAATACGCATGTCAAAATTTTTCAAACTTGTGTAATTTAAATGTGCAGTTTATGTCAACTATACCTCAGCAAAGCTGCTGAAGAACAAATGTAAGAAAGCGAAAGGAAAACAGAATAAATAATATAGGGATAACTTAGCATTTCTAAAATTCATAAACTAAGGAAAGAGTTTTATCACTCAAGTTACCCTTTAATATTGTTCCCAGTACTCAATGAAATGATTTCACATTTTGCCTGATTCCAAACCAAAACATACCTGATTTCAGAGATTATATAGATCTATCAGTGTATCCATAAGACTGCCTACATATAGCATAAAACATATGTGGTAAATGGATAAAAAATGGGTGTACTAAAAATAATTACTTCAGGAGAGTATTTAATAAATGATAAAGCGGGTTTCATTGCTTGGGAATCCCTCCCTCACTTTCCCAGTGCCCTGTCACCAATCTCCCTGCAGTCTACTGATTAGTTGACATTTTCTCAAATTTATATCAGTGGAATCATGCTGTATATATTGTGTGTCTTTTTGTTCCTGGACACTTACCTTAGCCTAGAAATTAGACATCCTCTTATCAGACTTAATATTCTTAAATTCAAATTAAAGTTTAACCAGTTCTTAAGATATCAGTAGCTTTCCACAGCCCATGAAAAAGACAAATTTTTTGTAGCCACAAAGTATTCTATAATGAAACATTAACGTGTCTTTCGGCTTAACCAATATATCCTTGTGTGCACCTCTTCCAACTTCCCTCTAAACCACGATATGTTTATTATTTAATCTGTTCATGTCTTTCTCTTTCTGCATATGGATTGTCTTTCCACTGCCTGACTGTTAAACTCAGGGGGTGCATTTGCTATAGTGTCTCTGATCCCACTTTTTAGTTTTTTAGTCAACTAGGCCCATATTATTATGATACTTACTGTATTAAAACTTTTTCACTTATCAAATGTTTTGCTAAATGATTAATTTCTTGAGGGTAGAGGTAACGATTGTTTCTTGCTATCTCCAAGAGATTAGTATCGGGCTAGGTTTATAAGAGTTCCCTATAAGCATATGTTGAACAAATACATGAAGGGATAAAACAGTTAAAATGTGTGTCTTAAACATCTACTTCTGGCCCGAGGTGTGGTGGGATGGACAAAACGCTGGAGCACCAGTGGGGTTCCCACATGGAGCCTTTTCTTTGGTGATGTTCACAGTATCACCTGGAGAATCAGCCGCTGTCCCCAATGACATCCTCATGTCTCTTTCAAAACTTTTTACTGTGATTTAATCAGCATATGATACATTGCTCTCATTTAAAATACAAAAGCACTGGCTTTTGTTATATTTAAATTATCATGCTAACACCACCGAATTTTAAAAAAATGTTCACTATCTCAAAAAGAAACTGAACACACTGTCAGTCAACCTCTATCTTTTCACCATGTTGTTAACAACCACGAGGTAACTCTGTGTTTCCCACTCTGGACATAAATATGTCTCTTTCTTATGACTGAGTTTTGTTTTATTTTTTTATTGACCATGACATTTTCAAATTTCATCCATGTGGAGTATGTATCAGTATTTCATTAATTTGTTTGGATGAATACAATTCCACTTTATGGATATACAATACTTATTCATTCATCAGTTGATGAACATTTGATTCATTTCCACCTTTTGGAGATTATTAAAGCTCTTGCTTCAGTTTTATTTACTTTTTTGTGCAGACACTTTTTCTCTCAAGCGTAATGCTAGCTGTGGGACCTCTGGGTCATAAGATAAAGCAGAATGTCATCACTGGATGAATTGGCAGATTGTATTCCACTGTGGCTGCACCTTTTAAAATTTCCACTGGCAATGTGTGAGTTCTATTTCTCCATATTATCTGATTTTTTTACCCTAGCAAAGAAATGCTCAAAATTTAGGAGACTCCTGCGGAAATTTAGAATTATTCTAGGAAATTGATAAAGTTAAGATTTAAGAAGAAATTATTGTAGTTAGTCTTTTGCAGCTACTGAAGTATCATTCTGATACTGAGGGCAATTGGAAATGCATCACTTGGCCAAAAGTCTAAATTTCACTTTTAATAAATCTATGTTTTTGAATTCAAAGACATATCTAATTCAAAATTATCCATGTGAGAAGTAGTTAGTTGCCATGAACTTTACAGCATGATATGGCAGCCAATATTTTTTTTTATTTGTGAATATATAACATTTTGGACCTTATGGTAACAGTTCAGATTTTCTGTCTTACTTTCCTGTTGCAAAATCCAGAAAACTTGTAATTGGTGATTCCTTTGCATCTGAAATGTAAGTTTCTGACCTTTTATTTTATGCAATTAATCAAGATTTAGACGCAATCAATTTGGCACTGTATATCTGATTCTTCAACAAAAGTGGTGACACAATTGCTGGGACTCAGAAACCAGTGTCATTGGTGTTAAGTGGTCCTTCTGAGCATTGTTCCACTTTCAGCCCTTGGTCGGAATCTGTGAATGACCTAATGTATTTGCATCATATGTTCTTAAATGGGGAAGGGAGGAGGGGCTGAAGGGAGGGCAGGGACAAGGGGAAAATATGAGAACCAAGACCTGTCATGTAAAGGTACAAGATCCCAATGGTGAATGTAACTGTACTGTATACCTAAAATGTACCAATAAACTCAATGAGAGAAAAAAAAATCCTAATTGCCATTCCTTCAAAATGTTTTTTCAATTTACTTCAATACACTTATAAAACAATAAAGTAAACAATTAACAATATGCCCAAATGATTTCTTTATTACTCCTATACTATTCTATTCTTTTCCATAATTCTAAAATAACATTTGAGA